CTTGCCTACCCTACAGACACGCCAGAAATGGTTACTCAGAGAAAGAAATTTTCGAGTTGGAGACATAGTACTGCTTACAGATGAACGGTTGCGGCGAGATGAATGGCCCCTGACGATCATCGAAGAATGCCTTTCGGACGAGGATGAGCTCGTACGCACGGTTAAAGTGAGAACGGTAGCCGGGGAAACCCTGCGAGATATCCGCCGAATCTGCCACCTTGAGGGAGACGAGGCAGAGGCAACTGGGAACCCAAGCAGCTGAGGAATCCTCCGGGTTGGTGGAGGCACTGTGAGTCATGGAGAACGGTTTGTGGTTAACCTCCTGAGCCACACGTGAGAGAGCGACGGAGGGGCTGTGAGTCATGGGAAACGGTTGGTGGCTATCCTCCTGAGCTGACGGAGACGCATGGAACGACGATAAGCTCAAAATAAAGGTACAAAGGTTGTAGAGAATAAGAAGTTATGGTAAAAATTGGTACTCCAGTGAATTTCCCTTTGACCGTGTGACGCGAGAAAGGATTAATCCGGGCGGTGTATTGATCGATCTGTGAAAATCCTTCCTGTAAAGCCCAGTCAATCCATCTCGGTTCCACATATCGTGAATTTTACGTTCCATTCACCAAACCTCATCCGCCTCACATACATATAGTCGTTTGACGTTCCACGCCCCTTGTATATTTACACATCAATCCTACCGTTTGACTTTGTTTGTTTATTTGCTTCAATTTTTATCCTACTTGTTTTAATCGCGACTTGAGAGCTCACATTTGGTTCGTTTATGTGCAGCGGACGGTGAGCGTGCTATTCTTACCCAGGCTTATTTTCTTCCATTCAGATTTGTTGAATTAAGCTCACAGTAACGCTTGGCTCTTATTTTCAAGTTGTTTCGAGATCACTTTGAGGTTTGTACAGTTTTTATTTGCTTATTCGATCGTTTAATAATGCAGTACCGTAGAAATTTGCCGGATCGTTTGTTTTGTTGACGCTTTGGGATCCAATTTCGGCTACTCGTCGCTCGTTGATCTATTTGGGAATTACAGTGTGAACTCCTGCTGCCGAGGTGGTGTGTCCGAGGTATGCAAACTGAGACTGCATAAAGTGGCATTTTTCCGGTTTCAGACGGAGACCAGTTTTTCTCAGTCTGTCAATGACTGCCTTTAGATTGTCCAAGTGATTCTTTTCCGTGGTTCCATGAACGATTGTGTTGTCGAGATAGACGAGGCATTGGTTCGGGATTAGGCCCTTCAAAGCCTGTTGCATTAGTCGTTGAAACGTGGCCGGTGCGTTTACTAACCCGAACGGCATCGTCTGGAGTTCGTAAAGCCCCGCGGGTGTGGAAGAAGCTGTTTTGGGGCGGTCTTTTTTTTATTCCACTTTCACCTGCCAATATCCGGACGTCAAGTCCAGAGTACTGAAGTATTTCGCATTAGCCAGGGCGTCGAATAGATCGGCGACCCTCGGAAGTGGAAACGCATCCCTCTTAGTCACTTTATTCAGCTCTCTGTATTATACGCACAAGCGGAGGCCACCGTCCTTCTTTCGCACTACCACCACCACAGACCAAGGGGAGGTGGATGGTTGAATGACGTTGCTTTCCTTCATATGGCGTATGGTATTGGCTAATTCCTTTGTCCAGAACGCCGGTATGCGCCTAGGGGGAACCTTTATTGGTGGGGCGTTTCCCGTGTTTATTCGGTGTTTTACAGCGCCTGTCCGCCCTAACTGCATGTCGTTCCAGGTGAATGCGTCCGCGTACTGCTCGATTACGCGCTAAAGTTCCTTGGTATATTGGGGTTCCAGTCCTGGGGCATTGGCCTTAATCAAGTTGCAGATTTTCTGCCGGGCGAGGGGGGCAGTTGGCATTGACAAGTTTACCTGTCGTGTTGGGATTTTCCCTTCTCGCAGGCGTATTGTGTCGTGTAGCGTTTTTAAAGTGCCGTTTGAGGTGTCTATTTGGCTTTTCGCCGCCTTCGGAAGGTCCAGTCCGATTATGCAGTCGAATGGAATTTCTGGGGAGATTATAAACATGTGACGTAATCGGTGTGTTCCCAGGCTGAACGTTGCAGTTAACAATCCTTCCATCTTTATTGTGGAACCATTTGCGGCTACCAGATGGTCGTGGTTGCTGTGTTTTATTCCCCCGGTAGGTTCCGGGCGATGTCTGCCCGAATCAGGCTGCGGGAGGACCCAGTGTCTATCAGGCCGGATATGGTTCTATGTTGGAATATCAGTGGTGCGGCGAGAGACGGCGCGTAGGGAGAAGTGGATGAGACTAGGGTGATGATATTTGGTGGGGACTCAACTCTTCTGGTTCCGTTCTAAGGCCCTCGTTGGCCACGTCGGCCCCGCCAAGTCCAACGTCCGGGTAGACGAAAGTTGGCTGTACTTCGCGGTGGTGAGTATCGGGGAGTACCAACATGGAAAGAATAGGGTGTGTGAGGAGACTGCGCTCTGCTTTGGCGGGCTATTGCTGCGTCACGTCTCTTCAACAGTTCCACCCTTCCGACGGCTTCGTTTAATTCTTCAGGGTGTTGAAGATAAAACTCTTTTTGGGCGCTGGCGGATGATGTGCCCTCAACGAGTTGTTCTAAGATCCGTGGATTGCGTTCAGAGCTGGACAGGTTTGGGAATGCGCGGTCTGCTAAATGTCGCAGAGTTCGAACGTAGGTGCGGACGTTTTCGTCAGCCCGTTGCCGGCAGGGGTGGAACTCCCGACGGTACTCGATTGCTAGCTTGGGGGTGTCTAGGAGTTGTCGGATCCTCTTAAAGGTGTCGTCTGTTATCTCGTCATTTAGAATTCGGGATTTGGAGACAATATCGAATGCTTCGCCAGTGAGGAGGCTATGCACCCGGTCGGCGTGTTTCTCATGTGGAAAGTGTCGAAGGTAGATTTGTGTTTGTTTCTCCCATCGGTTATAATTATTACCGCTTGCGAACTTTTCCGGGATAGGGATCGGGGGACACGGTTTTGAAGATTGGCTGTGTGTGGAAAGACGGTCTAGAATGCTGATTAATGCGGGCATTATATCTGACGGTAGATCAGCCTTGCTTTTCGGTGACCGTTCGGAGTCGCCAGAAGGTTTTCCTTGGATTTTCATCCAGACAGGGTCACCATTTTGTAGTATACAACAAACAGGGAGAAGACTCGAAGGGCTTGAACGAGGTTATATTGATACAAACGTAGCAACACTATAGGTATATGGAGTGATTATAATACAAAATGGTAACGTTACGTGTGGGTTTTGTTTTGGTCTTTGCTCTTAGCGTCTTTTATCACGGCGTTAGACGCCACGCAGTTTGCACAGTCTGTAAAGGGAAATGGGAATGTTTGTTAGCGGCATTTCGGTATCCAATTACCGAACGTCAATCAGTTTCGGTTTCACCCGACACATCGAATGTGTCCTCCGACAACGGGCCCAATTTCGTCGGCGCACAAAAGGAGTTGAGAAACTGGTTGTCGCGGGTGGACAAAGCGCCCTGCAAGACTGACTGTCGCCATCTGGAACCCAATGGCGCTTCAACCCACAATACAGCAGTCACCGTGGAGGAGTTTGGGAACGGCTTATACGGTCGGTGCAAAACATATTGACAGCATTATGTGAAAACAGGCGCCGGATGATGACACTTTGAGTACATTTCCGGCGGAGGCGGAAAGGATACTTAACAACCGACCGCTTGTACCCGTCACCAGCAATGACCTGCAAGGACTGACGCTAACTCCGAGTGACCTTCTGCTATTGGAGTCCAGTGATGGTCTAGAGGTGCCAAAACTATTAGTGGCTGCTATACCTCGGGTTGGAAGCATGCGAACTACCTGACACAACTGTTTTAGAAGCGTTGGACAAGAGAGCACCTGCCAAACCTTCAAGCTCCACAGAAGTGGTTGCATAGAGAGAGAACGGTCGCTGAAGGTTGGGGACGTTGTTCTTATGGCCGACGAAAAGCTACAACGCGACAACTGGCCACTGGGTGTAGTCATGGAAAGCCACACGGACTCAGATGTACTAGTAAGAACAGTAAAACTGAAAACATCTGCCGGTGAACAGGTGCGCGATATTCGACAAGTGTGTTTTTTGGAGGGGGATGACCACCATGCCGTTACTTGATGAAGTTGTGGAGACCGCCGTGTATTATATTCACTTACCTGCTCCTTGTACCAATTTCGCCCCAGTGATATTCACCCCACCTGTATAAACATGTGCTTCCACGTCCTTGACATACGTTCTCTTCATTTCTGAATACTGATTGTCCTTTTATCAGATTGATGCACAATTTTTGACATTAACCTCGAAAGTGTGATCCATATCCCCACAACATCCATCCATTTACATACGCACAATTAC